GCAGAGGCGTGCCTCCCGCCGCGGGGACCTGGACCAGACGAACTCCTGAGGTGTTTCTGCCTCTGTCCCCATCCGCCCCGCAGGCGCTGGCAGCCGCAGCGGGGCTGCAGGGGGATCCGCGGAGCGTGGCTGCAGGGGTGTCCGGTGCAGCCGCGGTGCCGTTCCCCTGGTCCCTTGCGCTGTCAGTGTCCGTGCCTCACGCGTTCGATAACATTAAAACCCAGCCCAGCCCCTCTCTTGCTGCTCCCTGTGCCGGAGAGGGGTTTCTTGGTGTGTACGTAAAGCTGCTTTGCTCGCTTTCTCTGCTCCGTCCATCACACGCTATGACGGTAGCTCAGCGCTGGCACAGGTCGGGTCCCCGGTGCTGCCGCTGCCCTGCCCGTGTGACACCTCGGAGGGACGGTAGGAGCCTGCTCGGCACTGGCTGAGCCCCTCTGCCGGGTCCTCTTCCACTTGCCACTTGCAAAATGAATTAAGTGGAACAGCACAAGCGCATGTTCTCTGGGAGCTGCTGTGGTTTGTAATCGACACCTTAATTTGTTCTGCAACTGTTTTCTCATCCAGGTGATTGTGTAGCTCACTGTTCTCGCCTCACCGTGTCTGTGGTCTGGATTCCAGCACTTTTCAGTAGAGAGATGAACCTCAACGCAGGGAATTTATCCATAGCAGTAGTTAAGAAGGCAGAGCTGTCACTCTTTAGAGCCTTGTAAGGTTTCCCCGTAAACCCTTCAGCTGCTGTGTACTGTGGGTGAAGTTAAAGCTACTGCTTGCAGGGAGTGAGCTCCTGGTGCTTGATGCTCTGCTCTTGCCCTGTGTAGCAAAATGGAGACTTGGGTCTGTTGGTGCATGCAAAAATAAAAAATAGTGATAACTGGGGACTCTCAAGATAAAATTCTTTTTTGTTTGTTTTTAAAGAGGCCGTAGAGTCTTATTGGAATCCAGATAAAATAATCTATTAAAAGATTGAGGGTATTTGGGTGGGAGGAGAAAGGAACCTTTAAAATGGATCCTGAATGAGCCTGTTTTCTGCTAGATAAATCCTGGCGGGTGAGGAGTTGGGCAAACAGACTAGTCTCAGTGTTTTGGGGGAAGATTAGTATAGAATTAATACAGATATTATTTATTTCAATAAGGCAATTGGACATGATTGTTCTTGTCTTCGCTGGTGACAGCAGGTGCTATTTCAGCTTATGAGATAGTTACACTTCTGTGGAACAAAGGTAGCTGAGAGGGGAGAGCTGGGTTCTTGTAAGGTGCTCATTACACCCATTACCCAGCAGGTGTGTTACTGTGAAATGAAAGTGCCAAGCAGATTTGTGGCTCCATATCGTACTTGCAGGGTATTTCACTCAGAGGGGAATGACAGTTACCCACCAGTTTGATAAAAATTAATCTCTTGTTTCAGAAATTCTTAATTACGTGATTAATACAACACAGTACAGGCAGTCAGGAGGTTGCTGCTGTTAGAATTAAGTGTTTGATAAGCTGCTTTAAAATGTGATTATATTTTTTATTTTTAGTCAAGTGCTGTAACTGATGAGTAATTCTGGGTAGAGGTAGCTGATGGTGGTATAAATAATTAATTTCTAAAGGATTTTACTCAACAAGATCTTAATGTAATAGGTTTTGAATTCATAAGGATTCCTGTTATCAGTGTTGAGCAAAGAGTGTTCTGGGTTATAAGTTTCATTGTTCACATCTTCAGTGACTGGTTTTTGAGAGTCAAAGTACACGTCTCCCTTTTCAGGTTCATTCACTGCGTAGCTTTGCCATATTCTCTTCCATAACTGATGCAGAACCTCAGTAAATTTTGCATAAGAAAACACCTTTTTATAATTTGTAAGAGAAATAAAGGGAATTAAACTGAGGACCTGAGAATGAAGCTTATCGAGTCTGAGCAATTGAAAGTAAAAAAAAAATAAATTCTGTGGATGCATTATTTATTTTCTTTAATTTGGATTAATCAAAGAGTATAGGAGTCTAGCTTAAAGTTTACGTGCATGGCATGTAATTTAATGAAATGTAATGTCAGCTGGTATATTGGGTAGACCTTGGTATCTAGGGCAGAGAAAGCTGGAAAAACTAACTTATAGCTTAGCTTCCATGTGACAGTAGTGCCTTTTGCTGCCCTTTTAAATTTCTTACCGAGTTTCATTTTCAGTTGATCTTCCTCACTTTCACCTACTCCTATTTCTCTAGTCATAGAAGGTGAAGAACTATTTAAGAATCACACAAGCAGGACAGAGGTACTAACATCTTCAATGAAAAGTAGGCACTGATTTTAATTTTGTATGGATTAATACTTTGATCTGTATTAAGTGTTTTTTGAAGGACAGTAATTTTATGATTAAAAGAGAGATGTGGTCTTTTGGAATGGAAAGTACAGTCTCTCTGTGGTCAGTGATCTGGCAGGGAGGGTGGAGATGAGCGAGGTTGCTTGGTTAAGGTGAGAACAGGCTGCAGGTGAGAACTGTTTGCAAGTACAACCAAGAACTGGTATCTTGTGCAACCTGAGAAATTGCTCAATTCAGCAAAGTTTCTCAACAAACATGGAAGATTGGGAGAAATAGAACGACTTGACAGATATGAACACGACAGTATCAGCCTGCTCTGATTTACTATTCTAAAAGAGAAGCAGTCAGTGTTGAAAGGGAGAGTCAATACTATAGTGCTTGCTGCTTTTTTCTACACTGAAGTCCAAATAGTAAATTAATCTGATTCTTTCTTTGTAAACAGCAATTACTTGGCAAATGTTTGTCTTTTGGTTTCACAAGACAGCTTTAACTGAAATAACTTGTCACTTCTGAAAAAAGGGAGGTCTTGTTTGTCATTCCCCATTTCTCTTCCCATTCCTACTGCCTTTCTTCGGTGCTCATCTTCTGAGAAGTCCAGGCAGAAATGAAATAGCTTTTTTTCAGTTGTACTAGCAAATGTTACTATCAATACAAACTTGGATGCCAGAGTTACTTATTATTGAAAAATATGAACTTTACAGTGTATTTCAAACAACTAGTATATTTGGGACAATATTTGTATGTACTTCATAATCCCTAAGCTAATGCAGTACTTGTAAGCAACTAGGATGCTGTAAATTAAGCAGAATTTCTTTACCTTCCCTGTACAAAACCACAGCTGCAGATTCTTTTCCAAATGGTAAAAACCTATTGCATAGAATCATAGAATGGTTTGGGTTGGAAAGGACCTTAAAGATCATCAAGTTCCAACCCCGCTGCCATGGGCAGGGACACCTCCCACTAGCCCAGGTTGCTCAAAGCCTCATCCAGCCTGGCCTTGAACACCTCCAAGGATGGGGCATCCACGGCTTCTCTGGGTGCCCCGTGCCAGTGTCTCACCACCCTCACGGTAAAAAATTTCTTCCTAATATCTGATCTAAATCTACCCTCTTTTAGCTTCAAATTATTGCCCCTCATCCTGTCGTTATGCTCCCTGATAATGAGTCCTTCCCCATCTCTCCTGTAGCCCCCTTTAGGTACAGGAAGGCTGCTCTAAGGTCTCCCTGGAGCCTTCTCTTCTCCAGGCTGAACAACCCCAGCTCTCTCAGCCTGTCCTCATATGGCATGTGTGCCAGCCCTCCCTTCATGGCCCTCTTCTGGACCCGCTCCAACAGGCCCATGTCTTTCCTGTGCTGAGGACCCCAGAGCTGGATGCAGCGCTGCAGGTGGGGTCTCACGAGAGTGGGGCAGAGGGGGAGAATCGCCTCCCTCAACCTGCTGGTCATGTTTCTTTTGATGCAGCCCAGGACGTGGTTGGCCTTCTGGGCTGCAGGTGCACATTGCCACCTCATGTTCAGCTTCTCATCAGCCGACACCCTCAAGTGCTTCTCTTCAGAGCTGCACTCAATCCATTCTCCTCCCTGCCTGTGTTTGTGCTTGGTATTGCCCCGAGCCAGGTGCAGGACCTTGCTCTTGGCCTTGTTGCACTTCATGAGGTTTCCATGGACCCATTGCTCAAGCCTGTCAGGGTCCCTCTGGATGGCATCCCTTCCCTCCAGCCTGTCCACCACACCACCCAGCTTGGTGCTGTTGGCAAACTTGCTGAGGGGGCACTCAGTCCCACAGTCCATGTCTTTGACAAAGATGTTAATGCTGGTCCCAATACCTGCAGAATGCCACTTGTCACTGGTCACCACTTGGACATCAAGCAGAGTTAGGGGACTCTCTACATCTATGCATGCTTCCACTGAGGTGCGCCATTGTTAGCAGAGGCACTTCATGACTGTCAGCACAAGCTTTGTAACAGCACTTCTGGGTTTGGAGGGAGGTGGAGGTAAAGCAGGGTGGCACTAAGGGTAGCTGAGGGCAAGACGGCCAGGATGAGCCTGTCACTGAGAAGTTCGGGAGCTGCTGGTGAGGTCTCCTGTTTCTCCATGACCAACACTTTCTTCCCATGTTTGCCACAAGGTTAACTGTAGATGCTAATTTCAAATGAAAAAGTGTTTAACCAAGGTGTACCCACCTTAGTTGTGTGGCTTGTCCTAGTCTTCACTGAAGAATTTCTGAGGTTGTGGGCAAACACTAACTCTTGCTTTAAAAAGGAAACTGGGACAGGTATGGCCATTGCTACCTTTTGAGGTTTTAGCAGCCTCAGTTTTCTTGCAGTTATTTATCCATAACTTGTTCTCATAAAACGTAGGCTAGCAATTAAGCTGGATGGTCTGTCATAAATTCTAAGGGTTTACTTTGAACTGAAACATTAAAATGAATGCCTTCTGAATCTTAGTGGTTTATGTGATACTACTTTAAGTTATAGTATGGTAAGAGATCCTTGAGTAGCAGTGAATGGTTTTCTGCTTAAACTAAACAAAATGTGATGCTGGTCTTATTTAAAATGTCATTAATACTTTCCATAACTAAATGAAGCTTACTGAAAATTAAACTTAAATGTTAAAAATATTGGTATAATGTTGATGCTGAAAGATGTTTAAAAAAATGCATAGTATTTAACTTTGATAAATTTTCAGAGAATGCAAATATTTAATGTTTTCAGTGTTGTAGAGGGTAGGCAAAAAATTAGTATCTTTCAGGACAGTTACATGCCTGTTGCTTTCTCGGATATCGAAAGAGGGATTAAGGATTTCTTTGTATTTATGCTCTGCTTAATGTCTCCTTATCTTAGACTTTTTTTCTCTCTTTCAGATGGCTTGTTATTGCAGTTGGTCTAGTCCGAGCATATCTGGCTAAAGGTAGCTACCATAGCCTTTACTATTCAATAGAAAAGCCTCTGAAATTCTTCCAAACCGGAGCTTTGCTGGAGGTAGGTGTAGTCTTCCCTGGAGTTACTAATATTTGCATGAGTGTTTTCTTTAGGAGAAATAAGGCAGCTTTTGTTGAACAGTGCTTTCTAGGTACCTGTTTTTTCATTAGTATAGAGTGATTTGAAGGCAAACATAAGAAAGATACTTCACAAATGCTGAAGTTTTCCTTTTAGCAAGCAGGGAGGGAGCTTACTGTCTGCTATTGAGCTTGGGCAACAGAGCTCAATGTTAAGCTTAATATTTGAAATACAAATATTGAATGTTAAGCTCTTGTGGTAGAACTAAATGTGTTTCTGAATTGCTTCATTTGTGGTGATTTGAATTTTTCTTTTTGTTTTAGATTCTGCACTGTGCATTTGGTAAGCTTGCAAATTTTCATTTTTATTATTTTTATAGAAGACTGCAATTTTAGCAATATATTAGCATTAAAAATGTGGCCTGTGAATTGCCAGATTTAATTCTTGCATAACTCGTTATTTTTTTGCTTGAAGTACATTCCATTTTTTTCTAAATAATTTGACAAGTTAAATCACAAAAAGGAAAATAGTATAACAAGTTTTCAATTACTTGACGTTCTGTTTTTATCTAGGTCCTTCCAATGCTACAAACCTTAGAGCAGTTTATAAATGTTTTATAGTAGATCATTACTCTCCATCTCTACATCCTATAAACTTTCGTACCAAGCTGTCTTTCCTCCAGAAAAATATTTCTAGCTGGAAGTAATTTAAATTCCAATAAAAATAAAATTTCAAGCGCTAGAACTTTGCCTGCATCCATAGAGTGTAGATATGGGTTGTAAGATTAGGGAGGGGTAGCCACTTTTATCCCAGATTTGGCTGTGCTTTAATGGAATTTTGGGAGAGTAAGATTTACTTAAGACTTTACTCGACATTTCTTGTTAGCCTGTACAGTGAGGCTTGTTTGTTAGCTTGGTAGCAGAACTCAACTGTGTATAAGTGGCCTGCGGTCAGTACCAGTGTCATGGTTCAGTCAGCCTGAAGGGCCTTGTGTCTGAGTGACAGGGTTGCATCTTGTCTGGTTTGCTAGTCGTCATGAGTAGTGATAAGTCTGGCCTCAGCATTTGGATGTTTCATTTGTAGAATAGATGATGTGTCGCAGTCTCTGCAAGATCAAAGCTATAAAAGGGAGCTGTGCCTGTCTATACCTTTGCTTAACTCTGATTTTTCTAAACAACTGAGTCTTCACAAAGAGACAGTCTTGTGTTCAGGTGGGTGGTCTTGTGATGTTAAATATAAGTGTTTGAGCTGCTATCTGAATGTTTGCTAGCTACTACTTAAAGAGTTAAGATGGCATTGAGGTTCCTAAAGCCACAGCGACAAACCTGCTATTGTTCATGTCTCATACAAGCAATTTTCATACTGTAGGATGTATCCCTATGGTACAACTAGGTTCATATTGAATTCCTGTGCAAAAGAGTATTTTTTTTTTAACAACCAAATGTGGTAGTTGGAAAACTTAAAATCAGGTACATAAAATTGTCAGCAGAGGGCAGTCTAACTCTGTGTTTGATAAAGTAGTTCTGACCTTCCTGAATAATTGTTACTCTGAAAATGTTATCTTATAAAGGACAGTTTGTATACAGACTGTGCACAGATTATCCCAAGAAGTGAATGGTCATATACTCAACTCAATGTAAAGGCTTCTCAGAGTAACCTGTATGTATCATATAGTTGCCTGTGCTGCCAAGGTAGTCCTTCCAATGCTTTTATTTTTCTAAATCTCAATTACTGCTTCTTACCAGAATAAACCATGCTTGCTTTTAAAACATTTGTTGAAGATTGAAATGTGAATGTGAAATTTATACAGTCTTATTTAACAAGTGGCAAGAAGAACAAATTAAAACTCAGAACACTGGGCAAAAAACCTTGCAAATAAAACACTATTTTACTGTCCTAAACCTATAATGCTCTATTTTCTTAAGATAAACTTGCATGCAGATTACAGTGTTTACTAGTACTAAATCTAAGAAAGAGTGTAAAAAAATGATTAGATTTGTTACTCACACAAATGTGTATGTCCACACAGATCAGTGAATAGCAGGAGAGAATCCTGCGTTTCACCTTCCAGGCTGGTGCAGAACAGCAAACGAGATCACTGTACCAGCCTGTCAGCATGCAAAGCTAATAATCCTGGCTCAGTTAATTTGAGATGGGGATTCATTTAGCCCATGTTATCCTCAGTCATGTGATTTAATATCAGTGAAGAGAGCCATTAGTGGAATGTTGCAACATTTTATACCATTATAACTCTGTGCTTTTCTTAACAATTTTTTTTTTGTGAAAAACCCACTTATTTTATTGTAACTGCCCATGGATTTTTTTTTTCCTGTTAATGGAAGCATTTGTCAGCTAAATCAAATAAGGTTTTTTTGCACAGCTGGATACACCGCTGGTGTAGTCCTACTGGCTCTGGTAGAAGTTTCTATGTAAGGAGAAACAGGAAATTTGCAGATTCCTTTGCCTCTATTAAACTAATTGCTATAACTAGAGCTATAATTCTCTGTCAGTGAAGGAGCTTATGTGTGACAGATGGCAGTGTGCATCAGCATAACTTCTCTCTCCACATCTTTTCAGTAGAATCTGAAATGTTAGCATCTGTGAGGCAAGTTCTTCAAAATACAAAGATTGATAGGGGAATGTCTCTGTCAAGCATGGTTGAGAACAGAACTTTGATGTGTGGCAAAGATTTAAAATTGAAGGAGAGCTCTACATGAAGAGTGGAGATAACATGTAGCCCAGAGACCAAGAGGAGAGACCAAAGGACAGGCAAATGGAAAATGAACAATGCAATTCCTTAACTTGTGTAGCAGTCAGAATCCACTTGTATGAATGGCATTGATAGCCTGGAAGAGCTTCTGCCTTGAGGAACTTGGTATGGAAAGAGGTGACAGGAGGCATCAAAATGAAGAAGCAAGAGTAGTACAGGGAGTTTGTGAAGGGAATGGAGAGGAAAAGCAAAAAAGCTTTGAGTACAGGCCCAGCCTGCAGAATCACTGCAGTACCAGCCTTCCTACCATGCTAATGCTTACCAGTAACCCTCTGGTAAGCCAAAAGCACTGGCTGACTTTGCTTCAGCCTGCTCAGGATGGACATGAGGGCTGCACCTGTAAGCTATATGTACAGCCTGTTCTCAGTCAGAAACTCCCTGGGAGAGGGGAAGCACTTGTTGGGAGTTGGAGAATTTCCTGCTGGAGGTGGGAGGCTTAGCCATGCCTAGACCTCTTCCAGATCCTGGACTGACTTGCTGCTTGGTTCTGGACATGAACCCCCTGTCAAGCACTATTATAGTGGTGTTGGATAAGTGGTGACAGATGTTTTTAAAAATACTAAGTTTAAAATAGTCTGTTGGTACCATTTCAGTGCAGGGACTAAATAATTAGAGGCAAGTAAAGTTTATGTAAATTATAACTGGTGAGTTGCTTATCTTGGTCTCCTGGTTTTGGCATAGATTGGCGTTGTCTTGGCTGTAATGAAAAACCTTGTTGTCTTACTTGTGAGATAACATTGGATGGTTCCTACACAGTCTTTTTGGCTTATTTATAGATTCCTTAGCAAGAACATTAGTTTGTCTTCCTTGGGAAGGGATGATTAAATTGTAGAAGAGAAAAGGTCTGTTACATTGTAGGAGTGAGCCTCTAATAAGTACAGGTTGTGGGATTGTAGTGCACCCCCCCCTTTTGTGTTGTCTGAGTAACAGAAATTCTGCCCTGAGGTTTTACAACATAGATTATGAACAATATATGATAAAACTCAAGAGAACTGTGTGTGGTGGATTTTTTTCCCCTCTTTTTACTCTGAAAGAAGACTAATATAATGACTGTGTGACTGAAAATTATTCTAATGAAACTTGCTTTTAGCTTTTTTTCTTTCTTTCTCCATCTTCCACTTTCCAGTTTGGTCTTTACATCTTTCTGACCCTGATGTGTTGCTTGCTGTGATTTGCATCAGTTTTAGAAACACTTTTTGCTGTGTATTAGGAGCTGCAACTGCTGTTCCATTTGTCTTTGTCATGCTATTGGAAGAAAATAAAACTTTGTGCTGTGAAGATTAGAAATTTTGTGTAAACTCGCAGTCTAAAACTATTCCTGCTCTGTCATACCTGGGTTTGTAGGATCTTGTTAGTGGCAGTGTAAATCAGCACCTTAGAACTTGCTTAGAAGAACCAGTGAAATCTGCTTCCTTGAGAAAATCTTAAATGTTTCTGTACCTACCAGTGCATCAGCTATTCCTTGGATTTTGTTTTTGTTTGTTTGTTTTTTTAAAAAGTTGTATTCTGAGGAAGGGATTATAAACTTTGTATCTATCAGAATATGGGCTAGATCAGTGTTTCTTCAAAGTAGCTATATTTTTTGCTTGCTGTTTTTTGAGATATACAGTGCAAAATATCTTGGTTTTATTTTTTTGATCACAGTAATGAAAAGTATCTTGGATATTTTAATCAAACAGCGTTTATTTCAAAGACTTTATCCCAAAAGCTATTTGACTGAAGTTATCTCATCTTATTCAGCTGTTTTGTGTATTAAGGAATGTGCTGTGATTGCAACAAGACTGATTGCTTTTTATTTGCATTTTGATGCACAAAGTCCTGCCAGGGGATTGCATTGTATTTGGCTGTATAAACACACCACAGGACAGACTTCATACTCTCAAATTAAAAAATTTAAATGCTTTCCTTCAAAAAATTTCAAACAACTGGACTTTAGCTTCGCTGTGTTTTATTTCCCCACCCCCACCTCCCACCCTGATAGTCAAGAATATTTACTAATTGCAAAATATCTTCCAGGCATTGTTCCCTCTTCTGTTGTTCTGACTGCTTTCCAAGTGATGTCAAGGGTTTTCCTGACGTGGGCAGTAACGCATAGTGTAAAAGAGGTAAGTTAAGATACAAAATAGATGGAAAAACTAATGACCCATGGTGAAAAGCAAGTGTTGATCGCTGTCTTATTTTCCTTAAAGTGACTTCTGTTTGTATCCCGACATGAAATTGTTTAAGTGATAGGACAAGGGGTAATGGGTATAAGCTAAAAGAGGGTAAATTTAGACTAGGCATTAGGAAGAAATTTTTCACTATGAGGGTGGTGAGACACTGTCCCAGGTTGCCCAGAGAAGCTGTGGATGCCCCATCCCTGGAGGTGTTCAAGGCCAGGCTGGATGAGGCTTTGAGCAACCTGGGCTAGTGGAGGGTGTCCCTGCCCATGGCAGGGGGGTTGGAACTTGATGATCTTTAAGGTCCTTTCCAACCCAAACCATTTTATGATTCTATAAGTGAGTTTCTGTGGCTCAAAAGAAATATAAATAAATCTGACATCATCTTTTCTTGACAATCAAATAGACTGAGGTCTGATTCTCTATCTGTAAGGTATCTAGCTCCTGAATAGATTTTGCGGTCCTTACTGAAATGTAGAGGTTCCAGTGTGTAATACAGAACCTAGAATTTGGGACAGCATTCTAGTATCGATCTCACTAGTGCCATAATTAATAGCAGAATCTATTGCCCTCTCTTTCATGCACAATTTGTTTTCTTTACCGCGGCATGTGGAAGCTCCCCCTCAGCTGCATGCGCACAGCAATGCCTGGATGTTCTCCATTTTCAGTTTCCAGGATAATCTTCCCTCTGTCCTTCATTCATTTTTCTTACATACAAATGTAGGTTGGTTTTGGGTCCTGGGTGTTTTTTTCCTCATTGCTTACCACACCAAGTACTGCTATAGAAATCTCTGCAGGCTTTTTTGGAAGCAGTCTTATTTGAAAATTGTTCCTAACAGTTATTTTGAAATCTAAACATGCTTTAATTGATACAGATCATGCTGACTGACTCCTTCGTGTTATCTGAATATTTTATAGTAGCCCAGATGTGCCACATCTTGTGCTGTTGCTTTAGCCAACCAATCTTACTGGTTTTCTTCTCATTAAAGAAAGAAAGAAATCAGTCTTGATGCCAGTGTCAGCATGGCTGCCTGAAATAAGTGGTGGTCATCTCATGTCATTATATGCATAAGATCTTTTGTGACTTGACACAGAGAATGTCTTAAGGCGCTTGTCTCATTACAAGTCTTCAGGGAAGCTGCTTTCTCTTCCTTGTTACAAACCTGTTATCGGAGTGTCCATCCACATGTAGAGCAACATAAGTCACTATAGTTCCTAATAATTAACAGCCCTTTCTGATATCATGATATTTGTTCATGTGGAGCTTTAGTTCCATGCTATTTAAAGTGGAGGAGTGTTCTTTTTCTCGATGAACTCAATCTTGTAAATACTTATCTTCTGTATGGATTTCACTTTTGGGGCAAATAAATGTACTTCAGTCTCTGGTAATTCACTGAAGGTAAATACTAGATTTTGAACAAAAAACCCTCGTTAATTCTAAGACATCATATTTTAGATACATGTATAAAGTATTTTTAAAGAAATATGCCTGTAGTTTTGCTTCGTACTTGTATAATGTTGGGGTACCTGGTGCTTCATAAAGAACAATGATGATCTGTTTTTATGAATTGCCTTCTGGTTTTGAAGCAAGCCGAATATTAAGAGGTTGAATTGCATGGATTAGAATTATTCCATGTGTTGTCTATTAGACATCAAAGGGAAGTATGTAAAATGATTGCGGGTTAGTTTTTTTGAAACTTATGCCCACATTCTCACTGGAGAAAACCAGCAAAATGAGAGAAAATGTGAGCAACAAGTTCAGCCTAACATTAAATTTTTAACAAGGATTTTTTTAAACAAGGATTCTTTCAGCAAAATTACATGAAGGTTTTTCCTCACATTTGTGTGGTCTTTTTGGTTAAAGCCTTGTGAGAGACTGTATTATGTGTTACTTTTTTTTAATGTCTTGGTAAGTGGGCATAAGAATGATAAGGATCAGGAATCCTGTGATGAGTTTTTCACCTGTGACTCAGAGCAAATAAATCAAATGAAGAGGCTGTATTCTGACCCCTCCCCTTCCCCCCAACCAGAGAGCATGCAGTCTCACCTGGGGAGATGGATTGAAAGTATCACGAGTGTTCTACTTTTTCTAAAGGGCTGTCTGCACAAGTGAGCTCCATTGTGAAGTCCAGGATTAAATTCTCACACAGCTTTATGGAACTTGTAAGCTATGCAGTTGCATGATGAGGTTCTTGTAAAATAGAATGCAGTTTTCCTCTTTAACTTTTTGAGTGAGGCTTGTTCAGTATCTTGCTTTTCCAGACTGTTTTAATATGTAATATAGTTAAAAGAAGAAACATCTGTATTGCATCCCTCCTTCTGTCAGAATACACTTCTAGATATGTGATGTGATTTGAAGCATGCTTCTTGCCACTAACATGTTCATGCTTTTTGTTGAATTTAGTGCTGATGTGTTGTTAAATTCAATATGAAAGTATTTATAATAATTGTTAAAGCATGGCAAATGTTAAAGCACTGCACACTTCTTTGGGTAGCACTGCGATTCCCCTTACGTCCACCATATGAGAAGCTGTTAGCGTAGTGGAGGACAGGCTGGCATGTAATGCAGTACTTGCAGTTGTTTTGTCATTACATCAGAAAGGAATCAGTTTGGTGAATTTTATTGTCTCTCCTACAAAGGAGGGAAGAGAATGAGCAGACTGGTGTGAAGGGCTAGAAGAAAGTAGGCATAGGAGAACAGAATGTGCCCTTCAGTTCAAAGCTGTCTTTTTGAATTTGTGTGAACAATGAGGTAGATCATCTGGTGACGTCCTGGCAGGCCTTCGCGGAGTTCTGTTCGGATAGATAAATCCACAGCCGGTTCTGATGAGTAATTAAAAAATGATGTCAGCAGTGATTTAATGCTTACCCAATTGGGTGCAGTTACAGATAAGCTGCAGATAACTATAGTATATGTTTACAGGAGCCTTTCTAGAAGAGATGCTCAAAAGGGCTGGTGTGAAGAAAATATGTACAGTTGTTGAGCTGGTAATTAAGACTCCAGTAGCTACAGTTGTGAATTGACATCTTTAGTCAGTGGTAAAGCATACTTGAGGGGAAGAGCATCTTAATTTATGATATTTAAGACTAAGTTGTAATAAAAGAAGTCCATGCTGGAAAGTTCAGAACTCTAAATGGGTGAGTGCAGTTGAAAAGCCTGATTCATCACTGCTTTACATCTGTGTAAAATTTGAGTAATACCATATAACACAAATGTCTGTCAGGCCCTTTTTGTCTACTGTGAAGCTTTTTGGGGTTTTTTTGTTTGTGGGGTGTTTTTTTTTTTTTTGGTTTGTTTTGTTTTTTAATAATTGATGTACCAGAGAACCAGCGCTCTGGAGAGAGACATTTTGTTTCATCATTACAGTTGCATAGTGCTGCTGGTTGTATTCTCCTGCACTGGATTGCTTAATTATGTGTTTAGCTGAAATCTTCTGCAAACAGTTTGCCAAGCTGTTACTCTTAATGTGAGGAAATCTATAGAATGCAGATCAGAATCTCCCTATGCATAAGGAGAAAAGTAAAGACCTCTCGGTTTTATTTTGTGAATTCCCAGTTCTCATCTTTGAATCTTAAAAGGCTATGGATTCTCTTATATTTTAACCAACATTGTCTGCTACTCATAGTATTGAAGATAAGCTAAAATATATTCAGGACCCTTCTTGATAATAAATTGGTTTGGAACACATGCCAAAAAACTATGCCTGTGGTATGATTGACCCTTATTAAGGCAGTTGTACAAATAAGCTCAAAAGTATAAAGTGTGCTTTGACTTTGGCTAAAACCTCCTTCAAAACTGGCATGAAAAAAGTAGAGAAGTTCTGAGGGCAGCATTGGGCTTAGTGGTTTATTATGGGTCTGCTGTTTATTGGCTGTACTTATCCTCAAGTTGGAAGAACTATAAAAATACAGCATTAGCAGTGCCTAAATGAATAAGACTCTTGAGAGACTGTTTTGTAAATCACTTCCCAGGCATTTGATAATGTGCATCTCAGACATCTTTATTTGAAGTATTGAAAAATTGTTAGTCCTCAAAGAGATGTTCTAATAGTGACAGACTTTTGACAGATCTATCAGTGGGTAAGAAACATACCTTTTAATGATGAGCTGTAGAATGTATTTAAAATATAAGATGCACAGTAGTGTTCTGTTCCTTACTGCACAGAATGGAACTATTTGAAAATTGTATAGGTTGCTTTTGTATGGGAACTAGCAGCAATTTCCAGTATTCTTTCTTCCTTAAATAGAGACACAACCTATAAAGGCACAATCTGTGATACTTTGTTAAGTGACCCTAACAGGAGTGTGTGCATGTTTTAGAGTGGTGTGAACTGTTTTAATAAGTTCTAAACACAGTTCTAATGTTAAAGTAGATGGGAAAGACTAGACCTGAGAAGGCAGTGTTATAGAAGTCCTGTGATAGAACTGGGTTGTAACTGCCAGATATTCTCCTTCTATGTGTGTCATTCCCCGTTAGCTTCCTAGTTTCTTGTTCTTGTGCATGTCCTTGCGTGCTACTTCAAGCTACAAATTTTTGTTTGTTGGTTTTACTGACTTCTGTAGTTAGGGAAAAAAGTGGGGTTTCAAAGTACAGGTTGAAGTCTGACACACAGGTTTAGATGAACTCACTAAGCTGCTACTCCTAATTTGACCAGAAGATGCAGCTCTGGAGTGCTTGTGAAGCATGTTGCTCCTTGGGAACAGAATCTGTGAAGTACTGTTAACTTTTCCAGGTTGAGAACTAAGTCTTGCTTATAAAGCAGACCCCAAACAAGATTAGGGTCCTGCAGCAATGTAAAAATAGATTTGGTCTCTTCTCTGAAAATCTTCAAATAAGTTTTGGATTTTATTCTTTTGTGATGATTTAAAGGAGAATAATATAATAAAATTATCACAGTTTCATGTGGAAAAAGGACAAGGTGCCTTTGCTGCGAAATGCAATGAAAGTGACTTGAAATGCTATATGCAGTAGAATATAGATTAACAGCAGCTCTACATTCCAGGATATCCCAAGATTTCTTTATAAATCTTTCAGGTTTTGTAGTCTGTAACAGAAAGCTTTTTGTAGGTAATCCTCATGGGCGTTTTTACACGCAAATATATGATCAGTCCCCTCCTATGAAAGGGTTTCTGATTGCCCATATATTTTCTTGTTCCTTTTTTTGTTTGCACATGTACTTTACCCCAGATGAATAGAGTGTACCACCCACACCTACTGACTTCCTTTTCCCTTTTTTCAAGAGTTGGATGAAAAAAGAAAATGCAGGCCCCAGTGGTTGAGCTCTTTTTGTTCCCACGGTCCACTGAATTTGGGCTCAAGGTACTCGCACAGCTGAGAATTCTGTTGAAGGGGAGGGAAGAAGGGGGAGGGCTGCATAAAAATAATTTGTGCTCTTTCAAGGCTTTGTAGTGTGGGTATGTGACCCCATATGTTTCTTCATCAGTGTTATTCCATCTGATACTGAAACCTCGTAATTATGCTTCCAAATCCAATAAATCTAATAATTCATTCTAAAAATACATGCTTTTGAAGATTGACCTTCAAAATATGAAGGGAGTAAAAGCTGGTTCAGTGATGTGTGTCTGAAATAAAAGCTTTAAGAGGTGTAAAGCAGTGAAACATAATAATGCCTTGAGGGTAACATTAGAGGGATTATGCTGGATACAGTAAGCAGAAAAAGGAGCAAGGAACAGTGAAGCAAGTAGTTGTCAAGCTTACCTGAGGTGAGACGATCTGAGCTTCTGTTTCTTCTCTCCTCCCAGCCTGTGTCTTGGTGTTGGCTGTTTTGCTGCTGCTCAAAATTAGGACCCAGTTTCTCATCTGTAGAGAGAAGAAAACAGTTCTACTCAGAAGTAGCACAGACTAGGATCAGAATATAAAGTCTAAACTAGATATCAAGTGTTAGACTAATGTGTTGGCATCCTTTCTGCTTGCTGCGCTAGGAGGCAATCCTAGGACTGAAATAGGAGCTGGTACTGTATAGGAATGGGAAGAGTTATGAGTTGTTCTGAGCATTTCAGGGATTTCTTGTACTAATTTACCTTGCATAGAATGGGAGATCTTAAGTTACCTGATCATTAAGCAGAGCTGTTCTTAAGCAACTAGAAAAATACGGAGCATGATAAGAACGTTTTTAAACTGTTATTACTAATGTTGCTTTTAAGCTCATTCTTGGAGTCTGTTCTCTATAATGATGCAGTAAAGCAACCCATGGGAATTGATTTCTTTGGGGTTTTCTTGGGTCTGGAGAGTAATTAGTAATGCTTGAATTCATATTGAGCTTTTTTCTTTCTTACAGGTACAAAGTGAAGATAGTGTCCTGTTGTTTGTGGTGGCCTGGACAATCACTGAGATAATCCGTTATTCTTTTTATACATTTAGCTTGTTAAACCATCTCCCTTATCTCATCAAATGGGCCAGGTAGGTGGCACAATTGAAATTATAGCCTTAAAGCACCAATTTGACAGGGATATATATCTTGTAAAATGTTTGCAGTACAAAAAATCAGGTACTACCTTGAGGTAATTACCCTGTTTGTGAATGTGATTTCCTTGCTACTTTGACACAGATTTCTGGGTTAAAACAAACCTATTACATTGTACGCTGAAAGAGTAGTTTATCAGAACTCAGTTCCAGTTACAAAGTGATTGTGTTTATCAGAAACTGGCATTTAAGGGTAACTCTTGAATTAAAGATTGTACTTGGATTCAACAAGATTGTTGAAACAACCTATAAACTCATTGATTAATATAAACTGCTTTTGGCCCTGTTTTAGGTTATATAATGACCTCTACCAAAGAGTTCAGAAATCAAAGTAACGAAGTATCTTGGGGGTGGGGGAGAATAGTTTTAAAGATAGTTTTCAGGTTCTCATAGGTAATAATTCAAACTGATTGCTGATTTGAATATTTATCTTGGAATAATATTCACACCTTGCCATGCTCTAATCAAGTAACAACAAAGGGAAATAAATACTGGGTTGAAAATTTAAAATTTTAGTATCCATAATAGCATTTAACAAATACTTTGTCAGAGTTTGTCGTAACTTTTTAATTCTTTCCGTATTTTGTTCTAGGTACACGTTGTTTATAGTATTGTATCCAATGGGAGTCTCGGGTGAATTACTCACAATATATGCTGCATTACCCTTTGTCAGACAGTCTGGCTTGTATTCCATTAGTTTACCTAACAAGTACAACTTTTCGTTTGACTACTATACATTCTTGATCCTGGTTATGATCTCTTACATTCCAAGTAAGTATGAGTTTGTTAGGTTTTTTTTTTTAATATTAAAAGCTGTAAAAGGAAAAGCTAATAATTGTGGAATTAACATACATATAACTAATTTTGCAAAATTAATTTTGGAAATTATCTAAAGAAAAAAGTTAAAACTGCAGGGATTGCTTTCTACCAACACCTGCAAAACAGTGATACATGTTTTTTCTCTTACATTTGGAATATTCAGTAACTGTGGTGCTTCCTGGCAAATGTTGACATCTGCATATTTTTTCCCCCCCACTTACAGGGTTTTAGGAGAACAAAGTTCAAAAGAGCTGCTTAAAATTTAGTTCTTTATCAGGAATAAGAACATTGCTTTTGCATTTGTGGTTAGGGAACCATTTCTGTTGAACTAACTTGAATTGACAATCTCTGGTTGATGTTTCTGTAGATGGAATGAAGATTTGGCTTTCCTGCTTTGAAATGGGGAATAGGAACATGGAAGCCTTTAGCAAATTTAAATGTGCAAATAAAATCTAACATGCAGAATAACGTGATGATGTTGCTGTTGTTGGATGTCTCTGCAGCTGTCTTTATATGAACCTTGTTGTTTGTGCAGAATGATAAACCGTATTCAAAGACTTAAATTTCAGTAGTGTGGCTGTCTCCATAACAAGCACTTACACTTTCAGTGAACCATATTGTAATTCTGACATCAAGGTTCATAAGGTTTTCCAGCTGTTCTTAAAAAAACACTTTTCATGCGTTTGTTTCTCCTTGTCCCCCTCCTCCAAAATGATGTTACTAACTCCAAGCAGACAGAATATCATCTTTTATATAATAACCACGAGTATAAATTACTTCGTGTGCAGTAGCTAGATCACAGTTGGCAGGCCATGTGGGAGAGAACCCATGTTGAACACAAGTAACAATTTAAACCCTCTTTTTCCATTAAAATAATAAATTAGTTATCATTAAATTATTTGCATATAATGAACCCCCATTACTTAGACTTCTAATGGAGAAACCATGTGGCTCTGCATTCTGTTATGGCTCTGGACAGCTGTATTTGCTCCTTCACACTAGTGGAGTGAATCAGGATGTGGGGAAACAGTTGGGAAATTAAATACAGAGTAAGAAAGCCAAAAGAAAAATTGTTGAACTGAAAAAAAAAGTTAATACACAAATTAAATAGACTTTGGCCTATATTTATGACAAACACTTTGCATGTGTAACTGATATAATTTAAGCTGACGCTGACCTTGTTTAATTTTCATAGGGTTCACAAAGGTTTAGTGTCTCATGGCAATTTTAGTTTTTGCTGTTTATGTACATGTTTTCCATACCCTCCTTTATTGTTCTGCAAACATAGTGTGTAATGTAGTCTTAGAAATAGGAGAAAAAGCTTTTCATGGAGGTTGAAGAGAGAAGAGATGAAAGAGGCACCAGTTTGTATAAAGTTCCTTAGATCCTGAAAAAGTGACACTAGAATTATAAGAAATTAAACAAATAGGAAATCTCATTCTTTTGGAAGGACGTTTTCTTCCCTGCAATGTATTTTCTCTCTGTGTGTACAGTTCAGGAAACTTTTGTCATCCTGCTTGTACATGCAGAGTTAAATAAGGCATTTTGCATTTAATTAAAAATGTGATGGCTCTAGCAAAAAATAAATAGTACCTGAAGCCTAAGGACAATATAACTTGCTCTCTTTAAAGAGTAAAAGGCAACAGATGACTTGAGCAGAAGGTGGATAAGCATGTTTTCCTTTTAATAGAGAATTGGTGACCTTGAGATGTGACTGTGCATTTTACTTTGACATGTAAGCCTCACTTCATACTTTATTTATTTAAATCTATTTTCACTTTAGTCTTTCCTCAGCTGTATTTTCATATGCTACATCAGAGGCGAAAGGTACTCTCGCACACTGAAGAACACAAGAAATTGGAGTGATTCCAGCTCTTTTTCAGAACTTTTCAAACATCAAAAATGCTGCAGATTTTCAATACCTAGCACATTTATAAAGAATATACCAGGATAAAATAAGTCAAAGGTAAAAGACCAATAATTTGGTAAGAATGACCAGTAAATCTGATTTCACTGAAATTCCATAATATAAAACATTGAAATAATTTTCAGCTTGCAGTGCTTCAGAAAACTTTTAAACTTAATATGGCTTGGCAGTTAGCCCTTTCCTTTTCCTTAAATGATATGCTAAATGATTTTCATTTATTACTAAATGCCTGAAGGTTGCAGTATGAGTGATGAAGTTGTACCCACTAAATGCTTGAATTGGGATTATATTACTGATACCTCTTTTTTTAAGTGCTTGACTGCATGCCAGAAACTGTATGTATTGCTGTGAAAGGAAACAATGTGCTCTGAGATACTTTAGTATTTTGTCAGAGACTTCAGTGGACAATGTAATCCAGGCAAAGTGTTTGAATTTAGAAAGGTAGGTTGTGTTCTTAAAAGACTAAGAACAAGAACAGGAAACCAGTTATGGGAAATGAGGGGAATATGGTTCTTTAGGAATTTAAACAGTAGGGTGTCTGACCAAAGTGTGTTCTGTTGTTTAAGCTGATTAGTCAAATGCTAATGTTAATTCAGAGGCTGTAATGCTTATCTGAAACATTAAAACTCTTCCAAGTACTGCATCCCTAGATACTTTTAAAAAAAAAAAAATTCTAACTGTAATATTTCTAGTGATATCAGTAATTAATTTAAACAATATAAGGAGGCAGGTCACCCAGAAACAGGTGCAGTTCTCCCTTTTTTACTTTGAAATTATCATCTCTAATCACTATCCACTGTCACAATGGTACTCATCTTTCAGTGTTGAGGACTATTTGGTCTACCGTGGAATTATTTGAGGGCGTTGTTCCTCAGCCTAACTTTTCTCAAGTGACTAATGTGTATCACTCTAGCACATCCAGGCAGGCAGTTCCAGCCACTCATCTTCTGAAATGTTGCAAAGTCATAAGCTCCTTCTTTGGAAGCAGATTATATCATGTGTTACATGCTGCTTTTGCGGATTGGACAAGCCTTCCCTTATCTGCTCTCTTGAAAGAGCAGAAGTCCATAGAAAGTTAACGTTTCCTAGGTGCTTTCTCTGGGTTCTCAGGTTAAGCCTTCCCTTGAGAAGGTAAGAAAGAAAATGAAAAGTGAGAAAATCTTGTGGTGAGGTGGAATGTATTAATGCTGTGTGAGCAGTGCCCCAAGTTATGAACAAACTGATTGGGGACGACGGGGGAGGAATGCAAGGGACAAAGGCAGCAGGGAAATGAACAGATATCCAAGCAAAGGCAAAAGGAAATGTAGGTTAAGGTCTTTGCTCTGTTAGGAACTGATAGTTGAATAGGTCTGTTGTCACACAGAGGACCACACCACACACAGGTGTGACCACTGCCATGGTACCTGCAATATTGGTCTCATGCTGTGCCTGCCAGCATCTCCCCCTGGATGTGGCCCGTATCTGTGTCCCAGTTATTCATGCTTGATGCATCGCAGCTCTCCCTAAATGTAGCCAGTACAACTACGGTCACAGGCTCTCTGTTCTAGCAGTTGAGGAGAGCTGGGTTTACAATTATTTTGGTTTATGTTTGTCAGACCTATATTAAAAAAAAAAAACCAAACCAAAAACAATTTTGCGTTCTACGTCAATTTCCTTTGGCTTCATCAAAAATTCTGACTGAATTTTCCTAGTGCTCTGTAACACGTATAACACCTTTCCTGTTCAACACAAACAGGACTATTGCAGGCAGGGAGAGGGCAAGAGACAATAATGATCTTTGCTTCTATTTTAAACCTTTTGCACACAGTTATTGGCCGTAATCAAAAATGCTATGGCCATATACAACCTCAAAGTGATTTTGCATTCAAAGATGCAACAATTTAATTTCTCCATTAGGTTATGTGGTGCTTTGTTGTAGTGATCTGAGAAATGTTGCATAATGCTGAACTCATTGTTCAAAAGTGTGATCCTTCACCTCTGACAAAAGATCTTCTTTTGCTTATACTTGCTATCAAAGGAGTTAGTGTCAGTTTTTCTGAAGGATGTCACCTAAAAGATCTGATTACCTGATGTACTCAGATTACTGTATATTGTCGATGCTCATCTCCTGAACTTTTCTTGATTTGATTTTTGTATCCAAATAAAAGATTTGGTTTCAAATTTCCTGGTCCAATTCGGAAAAAAAAAAAAATGGCTGTGTCATATTCCTATATGAAACAAATCAAAGCTCTGTTGATGAGAAAGATGTACAGATCTGCATTAAATGGCATTGGCACTACAGAAAAGCAGAGAGCTGCTAGCAGGGAGAAAGCTTGTACACCCAACATCTTTGCTGGATAAGCTTTATTATGGAATATTTACTTTAACTGAAAATATTAATTTGCCACACAAATGCAAATAAACTACAGCCTTTTAAAATAAAATTGAGTTACTTTTCCTTTTAAAAGAAAAAGAAACTGCTTTGATAGAAATCTTATCGGCAAAGTTGGTTTAAAAATTTTATTCTGAAGTGTGAACACGCAGCTAGTACATACAAGAATTCCAGCACTTCAGCTTGCAGTGCTTTTTCAGCTTTAGCTTCCATGGAAATCACTGGAAGGTGATCATGAGTAAGAGCTGTAGTGCAATGCCCTAGTACTGTTTGGGTTTTTCCCTAATACTGACTTTGGTCACACTTGAGGGTTTTTTTCCTCCTCATAAAATAAGAAAAAAATTCCCCTCATCTGTCACTGAAATTCTAATGTGGTTTATGTAAACTTTGTAATAGAAGCTTTGATTAGTACTCTCTCACAAATCTGGAGGATTTTTTTTACCCACAGACTATTTACTTGGCTTGTATCTTTTCTATCAGCATCACCAAACTTCTGCAGCAGATGCATTTTCTGCTTTGGTTGTCTTTGTGTTGTTTGCACTGGTTCAGTCAACAATACTTTATCTTCTACCATGCCAGCTTTGTGTGAATTAGTCACTACCCTCTAAAAGACCAAGGTCCTTACCAGTGTATAGTTTACAACTGGAAATGTAGACATGTTCATATTGTAAATTACAGTAAGATGCAGGTTACAGTGCAGGTAAATTGTAATTTTTCACAATGTGATGTTTCTATCAAAGTTTTTTTATTTATGGGTAGAAAGGTTGGCATTTGTGTGGACCAATCTGCAGTGTCATTTTAAAACCTATCTTTCAGCTTAAAATTGTCATAAGTATACATCAAATCATACATTTTGATGTATATTTATGTCAGTGAAATTTGGGTGAAAACTATATATAGTCATTTTTGTATTTTTTTCTATGTTGTGAAGAATAAAATTGTAATTTTATAAGTCTGATTCACTAAGATTATTATAAGTTAAATGCATTTTTTGTATATTTAGGAACCTGGTGTTACCTGGAGCTCTGAAAGATTAAGCATAGACTTTTTATGCATGTTTGGAAGATATTTCTACTTGATAATGCAGTGAAATGGTTTGTTTGCTAAAATACTAGTCCATGTTGTTGCCTTGTGAAATTGCTTCTGTGCTCTCTGCCTGGATTTGGCCTACTGATCAGTGATACTAATTGCTATAATACAAATAAAATAATTCTGAACAAAATATGTTGTATTGTTACTGTTTATAAAATATCTGCTTTTTCTCCTTAAATGTGAATTAGGGCTGTATTTTTATTCATTTGTGTCTAATGTGTACCTTGCAATTTACAAGATGTTTTGGCATAAATAACTTTTGAGCTTAAACAAATGCTCTGCTTTTCCCTTTTAAAAGAGGTATTAATAACAATGTGTTAACTATGTTAACATTCAAACTTACAACTTCCTGAAGGATCCTCAATAGAATGGGAGCTCTTTGTTCTCCTTCTATCTGTACTCTAGATGGTGATGGTTTTCTACAAAATAAAATCATTTGAGTATTATAAATATAGTGGAATTCTTAATTTAATGCAACAGAATATTTCAGAATTCATTTGCTAAATATAATGTGTCTGCTACCACAGCAACGTTCTTAACATTTTTAACACTTCCTGAGAGAGATTTAAATACTATGTCTAGATGCCATTAATGCTCATAAATAACAAGTTACAATCCTTTAACAGGAACTGAGTAGTAGTTGTAGAGTGAGTGCTATTATTCTAGGCATATGCTTGTCATAAGATTGCACAACTACAGTGATTTTTTTTGTTTGATTGCAGACAGGATGAAGTAATGTCATGCCCAGAATCAGCACATGTCCTACGCATGATAGCTGTGACTTAGCACTACTGTGAAATTAAAAACTTCTCTTCAAAATGTTATGCCATGAAGAGTGGTGCTGAGCTCCATTTGTGCCTTAGAATAACTATGACTGGTTATTTGTTTCCTCTTGTTGTGGTTTAATCCGGCAGGCAGCTAAACGCCACACAGCCATTCACTTGCTCCCCTCACAGTGGGTTTGGGGAGAGAATCAGAAAAATGGGAAAACTCATGGGTTGAGATAAAGACAGTTTAAAAGGACAGAAAGGAATGGAAAATAATAATAATGATAAAAAAATATACTAAACAAGTGATGCACAATGCAATTGCCCACCACCCACTGACTGATGCCCAGCCCTGAGCAGCTGCTGCCACCCCCCAGCCAACTCCCCCAGTTTTATTGTTCAGCATGATGCCATATGGGATGGAATACCCCTTTGGCCAGTTGGCGTCAGCTGTCCTGGATGTGTCCCCTCCCAGCTTCTTGTGCACCCCCAGCCTCCTCGCTGGCAGAGCAGTGTGAGAAGCTGAAAAGTCCTTGACTTGGTGTAAGCACTGCTCAGCAACCACTAAAACATCCGTGTGTTATCAACAGTATTCTCATCCTAAATCTAAAACACTGTGCTGTAGCAGCTACTAGGAAGAAAAATTATTCTAGCCCAAACCAGGACACCTCTTTGCATTTTTAATACGGAAACAGTGTTAGTTACCTAGGGCAACATTAAAAAGTCTGAAAAGCATAAGGATTCTGTATTTATTTGTAAGCAAATTAATTTCACTGTAGTATTTAAGGCTTATCCTAAATAAAGGATTGTCAGTTCTTGATATAAGACTTGAAGAAGGCTCTGTGCTGGTGTGCTGAGTATAAAATAGAAAGGTGTGGATATTTGTGTGATTCAGTTTCATTTGGTATGGACTGAGCATTTCTAGAGTTGGGATTGATTGATTCAAGCCACCCGACTGCCTGGAACTTCCATTAAATATCAAGTGGCTTTTAAATTCTGCTTCCCATCTTCTAAACAAATACTCTTCCACATTTATCAGAAGTATTCTATTATTATAGTGAGAGAATTAATAAATCTTCTGTGTTGGTTTCTGAAAGCTACCTTGAAGCTGTTGGAATTAAATGTGGATTGAAAATTTAAAACTCTATTAATACTGAGCTCACTGATATCTAGAATAATACTTTCTTTTACAGATGTGAAAGATCCAAAAGCCCTTTTTTATGTGTTCACAGTTCAGCTGGGCATTAGTATTGTCAGGGGTGTGTTTTTTCTCTTTGATGAGCTGATACTGATAATGTGCTAATATTAGGGGAAGAGATGTTACTG